AACAACTAACATAATATGCAACATAATATGCAAAATAATAAGAAGATCAAAGGAACACCCACAACAGTAATCTACAATCTACAATCAATGAAAAGCTTGCATTAATAAATATAGAGTAGTTTTAGTTCTTTATATTCCTCCAATTTTAGTGATTTGGTGGTATATTACTAGCTAGTCTAAAGTGTTTAAAATATGTGGTTTGATGACTAATTTCAGTTTTTTCTTATTTGATCAGGAGACATGTTTGTATGTCTTGAATTATTCATTTTACTTTCATTGTGAGCAGAATTTCATTTATTTAATGCAGAAAATGTGCTGCGAATTACTAGAACTTATTAATAAGAATCAGTTTTCTTTCAGATATAATAATGCAAAGCTTTAAAACAGCAGACCAAATAACAAAACATAACACTGGAAATATACCACAAGATGAAGATTGTCAGCCAAAAGACCTAAGTTTCAAGTCCATCAAAAAGATGAAGCCAATACCTCCCCCACTGAATCTAGGGACTGCAAATAGTGCCCTAAAAGAATTTGCCATAATTGCAACAAGTCCAAAGAGTCCATTAATGCAGAAAAATCTTCCATTTCGTAAACGGTGAGTATTATATCTTCAAGATATTATTATTTTATAATATAAGTTCAGGTACATCAAGATGAGTCCTACTTATTAAAATGCTACTTTTATCAAAATCAGTGGTAGTTAACATAAGAAAGGTGTAATGTATCCTCTTATAACATTGGACATACAGGTCTGAGGCTAAATCAGCTGTGGGTCCCAACTTACAGGCTTTCTGTCTTCTTGCCCCCTTGTATACCTGAAGATAGGCATAGATTCCAGACTCCAAGAAGTTGTAGCTTTATAATTATATAATTTAGATGAAGGCCAAAACTCAGAAGAACAATATTACTTATTGTAACATTTTTATTTTATTTTCCTGAAATTTATGTTGAATATGACCCATGAAATGTACAATTTCAGGGCCTACAGCTTTTCTGAAACATATGACACTGGAGTACAGCCAACACCAAGTGGCACACACTTGGCAATGGAAGTTCCAGAGCAGCGGTCTGCCCTCCATTCACTGAATGAGGAAGCTTGTCAGGTTTCATCTGCATTCGTGAGACATTCCACACTGGTGGACACTAGGTTGCACTACCCAGCAGGCCCAACATGTTCATTTTTGGCTGCTGGTTCATCCAGTCCCTCACACTGGATCACCAGCACATCTGTTCTGCTAAGTCCTGCTCCCTCATCTCTGGGGAGCAGTCGAGAAGAGCTAAATCCTGGAGATACTGTTCGGTTGACAATGCATCTCTACCCGTGGCCCTCCCCTGTATGGCATTGCTTTCAACCAGGTTTGTACTTGCTTTGGTCTTATTTGTGTTGGCAGTCCAAGAATTGAAGTTGTTTTTAATCATCAGTCTAGTTATATATATTTATAAATTGTGATAAAGAAAGTATATTTATGACAATTGCATGATTCTAACTTTTGCATACAGGAGTCCTCCTGAAACTTGATCTGCCCAATGGAGGTACCTCTGGTGCATGGAAGCTAGCTGAAGAACTATCTAAGTTTGTTCCTGATTGGCTGGGAGCACTTCAGGTGGAGCAGGTATCAGAGATAGATGGGGGCATAATGATTCGCTTCACATGCCAGGAGCAGTGTCAGGGTGAAGTAACAGCGCAGTGCAACTTATATCACACATTCTACATTAAAGACAGAGGTCAGTACTATATTCCAAATGAAGAACAAGAAAATTTTTTGGTGGTTATGCTAGGGGTTGGCCTTCCTGTTCTGTGAACACCACTTATTGTAGTCAGCTGCAGTGATAATGAGAAAGCAACCGCACTGTAGAGTGAAGTTATTTACCTGTGTTACTTCCTAATAGATTCTGATTTACCTGTAGTTTTGTGGATGTACAAGACATTTCAATGAAAATTAGTGTTTCTGTGAGTTCTCCATGTGTGAATCGGTTTGATAGACTATACCAATAACAAAAATTTCTACTGGATCATGTGGGTACAAAGTATGCAAAACTTTGGTTTTCTAAGACCATGGCTTCAGCAATTTGTATGTTCCCATAGTCCCTTTTCACACTCTAATTTCCTGTACAAGCAAAGCTCCAGCATCATCCACCTCGATTCTGATGGTTTGGTTTCTTGTCTGATAACATTCCAGTTGTTCTTAATTTTCTAATGGAAATCTGAATACTTTTTCTGGAGAGAACTTTAAGGCTGGGGAACATTCTTCTGAATTCCCTGTGACTCTTCCTAGTAGAATTGACCTTCACATAACACTCATATAAAACTGAGTGTAAGCTTATCTATATCTTAAACAAAAGTGAATCTTCAACAACACTGAATAACACGTGAATATTCACACTTCTGTTATCATCACTGCAGCTGACTGGAGGAACAGCAGCAACCAATACAGTGATCACACATCAAGTAAAGGCTGTGCTCAGGCACAGCTACCAAAAAATCTTCCTGTGAAAGGAATTACTGGGATCTGTGAGACACATACTTCAAAATGCTGTAATGATGAATAGATAAGGTGATTGTGTCTCCAAATTAATCCTCTTTGTGTGTTTGTATTGTTTACTTCTCCACCTTGTGTCTTCCAAGGAGTTTTGCCACTTAAATTTTGTTTATTTCTTGTTTCATTAGGCCAGTGTGATCATCCTGTCATAACCTCTTGATGCTGCCCTAAATAATAGTTGGAAGTTACTGTATATTCAAATTAAATTAATTCCAAAATTTGTTCATTGCTTCTGGATGCAAGTATTTTCCTTAGCACTATGTTCTGAAATACGTGCTGTTTTGTCATAGTAAGGGGATGAAGGCGTGGTGTTCTTTACACTCTAGTGAAAATGAAGATCACCTTAAGGGCCCAACCATGTCTGTCTGTCTGTATATCTCATTCTTCAAGTAATTGTTCTTTTTATTGTTCATTATTCCAGGTATTCTCATTCCTATTGTTACTTTTATCCCAGTTGTTATTATAATTTGTACCGGTCTTGTGCTTTTGTATTTGTCATTGTAATTCCCATTTTATTGTTACTTATTGTTTGCCTTTTTCAACGGTACCTTCAGATCACTTTAGTGCAAAAGTGACCCAATATACAGATGTTGCCATAGATATGATTGTCACATTTGTCAGTGCTTGTGAAAAAGCATAAATCAAATCTTTGGAATGTCATTGTACTCCAAGAGCACTCTTTTACAGTCTTGTTATTAGTTATTATTGCTCTGGCATGTTGAAATCATGAAGATATTGTCTTTCCTGCCTCAGTATTCAAGAAAGAACATGACAGTTATTGTGATGTTTTCTCAGGATGGTGTGCCGTGTATCCGGAGCATGTGTTCAAGCAGTATGGAGTGTCATGTCAACGTCTGGAACAGACTGACATCTGTTTACCTTCCTCAAGAGTGCCAGTTGTCTCTCCAGACATCTGTGATAAGTTCAAGAGGTACAGATAAAGGTTGCTTTGTTGTTCATTTTGTTTGTTAGTACATGTGTTAACACCTTGAGCCCTGTTGGTATGTGGTCTTGGGTGCTAAGCAATGTAATAAATAACACATCTCTCTTTCCACAATTTGTCTAAAAATCTGTATTGATTTATAAGATTGAAACTTAAATTTATCATGTAAGGCATTCTTTCTAATCCACTATACATCCACTAGATGACACATAACTGTGCTGTATGGCTGTAAATTAAAAAAGTCTTCACAAATCTATTCCTTTGTTCTGTGACTGTACATGATAGCCACATGTTTAGAGTAGACAATTCAAAGCCACAACAGTGACAGATTAGGGAAATTCTAAGGAACTGAATGTATTAATTTGTGTTTGTGTTTCACAATGGGTGTACTTGGACCCAACAAAGTTGCTTTTACAGACATAAATTGTAAACAATCCAGAATTCTTGGAAATGGTAACATTACTGAGATTTTTAATTATTAATTGTAATCGACTACTGGAACTGGAAATATGAAATTTTGTGTTGAGTCATAAACATACATACATATTAAACATGAATGGTTGTTTGCAGGTCAACAGTTGCAAACATAGCAATATCGCAAAACTTAACATAGAATCTTTATTTAAGTAACAAGGTAATCTCAAAAAGAAAATTCCAACACTAATAACAGTCTTTAACATGTTTGCAATTGCAAACAATAAAATAATTCTTCCTGGAGTAAGATTCAATCCCATGGCTACCTAGTCATAAGCCTGGTATACTACACAGAGCTAAATTTGCATATATTAGTTTGGTTATGAATTGGTATTACTGACAAGATTTGTAGGACAAGAAGTCTGTGTAATAGGAAAGTATACATTATGAGTTCTGTCCAAAATTCTTTGCTTTTCCTTAACAAAGGAACATATGCTAAAAGGAAATTTTTGAGTAGGAGCACATTTGCTCAGCTTTCTCTTATGCTTGCCACTGCTTGCTGGGTAGCACGCACACTGCAAGATGTATGTGCTGGGTAGCACATACATCTTGCAGTGTCCAAGTTCTGCTTCTGTTGTTATAGATTCAGTTTCCCACCAGAAGGCTTGGGAATGCCATCTCATCTACCAACAACCTCACACATCTCACCTCTCCCACCACCTGATTCATTTCTCTCTCCTCCAACATCTCCTACAAAGAAGGTGAGGGACACAGATCGACCCAAGAGGCCAATGAATGCCTTTATGCTTTTTGCCAAGAGATATCGTCCAGAACTGATACCACTACATCCAGGGAAGGATAACAGGTAAATATACTTTTACATGACTTGAAGCTTTTGTGGCATCATCCAGCCACATCAGTTCCAAAAGTCCTTTGCTCTGAATTGATGTGGCTGGTCGCCTGAGAAGATTGTATCGCATATATTCTTCTAATTTATTAATGGGTTCATAGATAATTCATCTGTACTGGCAACTGGTAATTGTTAACACATTAATTTCATCGTGCATATCATGTTTATCATAAGGCATAGCCCTTCCTTGGTAAATGTCCATTATGATTAACAGAGCCATCAGTGTTATTCTTGGTGAGGCTTGGCGCAACCTGCCCCCAGCTGACAAAGAAGTGTATGTGACAGAAGCAAGAGCCATGGCGCAGGAGAGGAAACGCCTGCACCCAGACTGCTGGAAGAGGAAGCGCTCACATTCTGCTGGATTTCTTGAAACATCATCAAATTAGGTAAACTGTATGCTCAAAGGTAACTGATATCACAAATGTTGGAAAATTGTTGTTACTGCAGTATATAAACATCTGTAATAAGTACTTGATGCATAATTATTATGTGTTTCATGTAGTGAATGAATTGCAGTTTTGTGTAATAAGTTTTTAAATGTACAAGTAATTAAATATGCCTTATATGCTTGTGTGCATTTCATGCTTACAGTCTTGTCAGTTGAAAATTCTTGATTTTCTGTTACTGTTTATGGAACTCTAAATGCTTGTATTTATACAAGTATGGTGCTCCCATAAATAAGATGCATACCCCAATGTTCCAGTTTGTATTAACAATTTTGCCAAGTACATTGCTGCGTGCTGTAATCATATGCGTAGCACTTTGTACTACCAGAAACAAAATCGAAACCCTCTGTTATGGTGTGCAGTTTGTTTTTTTGATGCAAGTATTTTAGAAAAAGTTGTGTATGGTGTTTGGATAAATATGCAAATCACAGTACTTACTATGGATGTTTCACATAATGCTACACAGAGTCACAATTTTATTCTTAATCTTAATAGTGATCATTGAGAATGCTAAGAACCCAAACTGCAGATTTTTCAAAACAGAGTGAATGTAAGAGAGGTGAAGTAAAATCAGAGTGTATGACAACTGGGTCCATTTAGTTCTGATAAAGGAAGCAAGAAATGCACTTTTTTTTACTTTGTCCATCATCTAGTATTCTAAAGAACATGATATTTTAAAAAACTGGATCTTGTTTTTTCCTCAGGTATAAAGAAAGGGGGAAGGGCTAATCTGTTGTGTCCCTTAAAAAGAACTAACTTCAGTAACTCAATCCAGTGATTTAGAGAATGTGAACCATGTTGAATTATCCTAGAATTGCATTTTTATTTGCAGCATTGTGACACTAGGTTCTCTAACCAGGGATTTAGTTATGTATCTTTGTTGCCTTATGTCAGGCAAGTCACAAACAAATCTTAATTTTACTCTTGATAACTTATGGAGGTAACCAAGCCATGGACCAAATATCCTTATTCAGGTTTTTCATGGCTTTTGTTCATCCCATCAGATGAATTATGATTTATGTAATTAAACCTGCTAAAATAATCTTGTCCTGAGTTATGTTAATCCATTTCACTTCCCCACAGTGTATTTATGTAATATACAAATGCATTTAACTGGGTAATATCAATATGTTAATGAAAATCTTACCAAGGTGCATGGACTGTTCCTAGAGTTAGATACAAACATTGAAAAAGCTCATACCTAAATGAATCAGATATGTACTCAAAACATTTAGCATGCTGGCTGGGAAGGATCATTAATGTGTTTAAAATGAATTTTGACACAGGTACTAGATGATAAAATCTTAGCTCATGGTAATACTTTTGGGCCATATTTGTAATGTACTTTAAAACTAAAGTTAATTTTTAAGGATAACTTGGTCAGAATTTTCCATATCATAAACAGCATTTGATAGGCGTGATGATTACATTTGATGTGATGCATCTGTTTTGAGAAAATGTTGATTGGGCCCTGAATGGAATACAATCTCTCAGGTGAGGATACTATGAAGTTATGTGGGAAAGTACTGTTTAAAAATTCATGACACATTTGAAGTTCAAAGCTATCAGGTTCTTTAAAGTGTTGCCAGATGCAGGGTCTCGGTGCAGCATCCAGCAGATTATTGTGCATCACATGACAGGTTTTATTGGGCTTGATGTTTAATATTGCTTTGTAAGTGTCAAATATGCAACTTTAAATTTGTTTTGTCTTTACAGCCAGTTTTGTTAAGAATTTACATTGTAAAGCTATTTTAATGAGATCATTTTTACTGTATTTTGGATAAATTTTGTAAAGTTAAATGAAGGATGTAGGACAAATATTATGTGCTACAAAGTTGCCAGAGTTATGTGTTTTTTTATATTATATGTCCAGCATTAAATTTAATCTGGTAGAAATCTTTAATATTCCAAGCTGCACAGTTTGTTCACTTGAGTTTTATTGTGTATATTGACTTTGATGTATTAATGAATAATATTAATGTTACTATTTTGGATCTCATGATTTTTGTTACTACCATTTTAAGTGTCACATAGACATATATTGTATACATAGATAACTTGGCTCTTGTTAGTTTTATATTATATTAACCTGTGTAGCATCTTTAAATGTTTTGTGAGTAATAGAATTGATATATACAGTCAAATGTTTTGCTCTGCTATCCTTAGTGAGCAAGTTGTTGCAAGTCGTGTGGATTGGGAAGGGACAGTGGTCTAAAGCTCTGATGCCCAGAACAAATGTTTTAAATAATTTTTAAATATGTTTATCTACCATGAAAATATACTAATAAGGAATCTTAAATTGAAGTCAGCTTGAAAATTGTTTATTATGCAATCTTCACTTTACTGAAATATGTAAGCATGAAATGTTCATGATACACACATGACCATTCAGTTTATCTTCACATCTAATGAAATGGATGCCTATTGTGATATGTTAAGAGTGGGCTTTTGTTTCAAGTGTGTGAAACATACAGAATAAATTCTCTTCCCCATCCTTACACATATCAAAGAACTTGTATGTTTGTAGGACAGACATTTGACTGTGTGATGACTGACTTGCAGATCATTGTTGTCTGTGATAGTTGTGAACTTCCATAGCAGTGATCTCAGCACATTTCTGTCTTGGAAGGAAGTCTGCGCATGCAGGGTTCATCTTCTCAGGGGTCTGTGACCGTTGCTACGATCTCAAATACTGTATGATCTTTGTGTGTGTTTCTTTAGAAAGTGAATTCATGTTACAGAGAAACCTCATAGTTGATTTTAGTCTACAAGATACTTTGCAAAGTTGCATGTTACATGTACTATGATATGAAATTTTTAAGTTCCTTGTTATATTGATCTTAAAAAAAAAATATTTTCTTATAACAAACACTGCGATTATTAGCATGTCTGATTGTTTGTCTAATCTCTATTCCAAACATAATGTTGTGGTCATTTAACATACTTAAATAGCGACTGCTGTGCCTGCCGGATCTCCGTTCACCACATGGGACTTACCATTTGCTAATCCAGGTTTATATGGTGTGAGGTTTACAGTTTGTTTATCTTATTAGTTTCCACTTTCATTATGTTTGCTTGCAACTTGTCATAGTTCATAAGGTTACAACTAATTGCATACATTGTTGACTGGCAACCTGTGATATATGGTATGTTAATATTTCCAGAATGCCTAAGTAATAGGACACTCTAGGCAGTGATCTCTTTCGCTTCATCTTGTGTACAGAGGTTTTACTTGGAGGTTACTGAAGTGGGCCAGAGAGTTTTTCTTTTTGTTATGTGATTGCTGTGTGGTAAGTCAGTTTTAGTTTCTGTGTTGTTAAATGTTAAGTTCTAGGATCATCGTTGGGTTTTTTGAGGATTTCTTCTGTGATTGTGGTGCATGGAGTTACAATCCACAATGTGAAAATATTGTTGGTTTGTGTGGGTACTTCAGCAGTCATTTCCAAACAGCCTCTGTTGGAGCAGAAGCTTCTTATTTTTAGTTCTGAGTCTGACTCTTATATTTGTAAATGCTGTACTTGGTTCAGGCTAGTAAACAGTTGCAGCTGAATTGTGAGATTAAATCTTGGATCCTGATATGATTGCAAATTAATCATAGCATTAACAAAGTTATTTATTGAAAAGTTTTTTACTTAAGAGCAAATGTTTCTGCTCTGATTTGTTCTGTGTCCTCCATCAGGTTTTTTACCTTCATATAAAAGTGCAGGAATTACAGAACTTACACAAGATGTGCACTTTGTTCCAAATTTACTAATATTTGTATTGTTACATGTTTCCTGATACATACCATAATTCATCTCAGAATAGAATCAGAAGTGTTGCTGAAGGTATTAGTGCAAGAACCAGATAACTTTAATTTTTTGCTTATTTTTTTCAGTTTCCTATAGATAAAGAAAATCAGCCATGTTAATGCTAAAATAAAGTCAGTCTGTCAACAATACACAAGCTTGCACCACTCATTAATTTGCAGCAAGAAACAGGCAAGTAATTGCTTCCCCAAAAACATTTATCAAAGTGGATTTCTTGCACACAGGCCTTCAGTTTATTCATTTGACTTGATTCATGTAGTTTGATTCTTAACTACATGTATGTTGCTGTCTATAGGAACATTAATTAACTTTATATTCAACATGACAGAAATGTATTTGAGCCAGGGGAATGCCTGCATTCACTCTTGATTAAAGTTTGTAATGGATTGTTTTTACCATAATGTTATATCTTGTGTCTTATCATTTGAACATTCAGTGATTTGGAATGTGCCTTACAATACATGTATTACTTTGGCCAGAGTCTTAAAACCAGACCAGTATACCCTTAAAATTACTCTCTGTCTTTTCTTGAAATGACCAAAGTTTTGTGAAATATATTTAACTGTGCCCTTTACAGTATAGAGAGATCCAGAGTGGCAACCTCACACTTTTCATAAAATAATTGCAGTGGTAAATGTGATGGATGTGACAGGTACTGTGATTATCTAAAAGTTTGTGGTTATAGTTGATTTGATATACCAGTATTATGTTGTACACTGTCCATTGCTGCCTCATTGGTCTAGTGGTTATTGTACTAGCCTAGTATTTGAAAGTTCTCAGTACTGATTTCAGTCATACCATTAATCTTAAAAGAAAAGAAGTAAATAAAAATCTCTTAAGTACAAGTATAATGGCAGCCATTCAAAAGGAAGGACTAGAGCCAACTTCTCAAATGTATTTTTCAAATATATTTAAGACAGTGAGCAGTGTCCAACATACAATGGTTGGGAGGGACTGTGATGTTGATCCATTATTCTTACATTGTTAGATTAACAGTCATTGTACAATATTCCAGTGAAGTGCAGTACCCATAACTTAATGTATCATAACTCTCAGCTGGGTCAGTAGTACTTACCAAGTAATATGGTGCAGTGAAGAGACATCGTTCTTCCTTGTGAGATTAACAACTGCTGATTGACATCCACGGAAACAACTGTTTTCTTTATGCAACTGAGAGTGCCTCTACTTCATTTTATAATTGTGTTTATATACTCTAGCACACCAAAGATTGTGCAGATTGACAGCTCTTCCATATTGTGATATAAACTCTCTTCAGTGAGTGGTGTTGCATAAATGATACATTAATTTTATTGCAATTTTTTACAGTTTATATTACTACTTCAGATAATGTCAGTTTTATAAATTGGTAATGAAACTGTGTGTATTGTTGGTAATGTTGAAATTTTTATAGAAAATAAAGTATATATTCACATACCTACAGACTTGTCTTGTAATATAACACAATGAAACCATACATTCTTGTGTGTTTTAGTGCTTTTCATTCTAGACAAGTGTAGGGAGACCATGTACAACTGTATTAGGATGTGTACAGATTTTCAGCAATTCATGGAACAACATTTGCAGCATTTTGGTAAAAGAATTTCATAAACAGTTTTTGTTTATGTAATTGCCCATAATCATGTTTCCCAATCTCTTTTATCTGCAAAAAACCTTCAGCATCAAGAAGTACTGTTGGAACCCTCAATTAAGATATACAAACATACTATTCTAATTCAGAACTTGTGACACTCCTAATTCTACATGAACATTGTACATTGTGAAAGTGAGTAAACTCTCATAATTTACTGTCACTAGCTAAAGTCAAATCCTACACTTTCAATAGGAACAATACAGTGATCATCCACAGTTCTGCTAGGGCAGTGTTACATCTACCAACATTGTAGTTAATTGCTATATCCATGAAGTAATCTGCATTGATGAGCATGAAAAGAGAATAATGATCCATTTAATTAAAAGAGGTTGCTGCTTCAGTGAAAGCATTGCTGATGCAGCATATTTATACCCGACTGGTCATCTTAATTGCTTTATTTAATAGCCTAATTCTGTGATGAGAAAATACTGAATTGTGTTGAAAATAATTTTTATGCATGCTTTCTGGTATACAGAGTAGGGGTAGGAAGAATGGTAACAAAACTAAACCTTTCTGAGTCAGTCTTATGATATTTATTCTTTGTTAAGCATGGTAATGAGTACTTTCATAAAGAGTGTATTATTACTGAGGTATGCCTTTGTTGTCAATGTAAATGTTACTCTGTCTTGGTTTTAGAACATGCAATGCTTTGTGTACTAATCTCTTATTTTGTTTTACATCAAACTTTAAAATCTCCATGCACCTAAAACTGAGTATAGTTCTTTCTGGAATTGTTTTCTCACATTATATCATACTTGTCCTCAATGAAGTTTTATTAAGTTATAATAATATTATAATTTAATTGATATTCTTTAAATGTGCAGCAGATATAATTTCATAATTACTTTCCAATCTTCAAAATATTCGCCTCATCCTTATCCTTTAGCCATTTCAAGGTAGGGACCTTCATCATTGTTGTTATTACTATTACTCCGAAACTCTTGAGAAATATACTTGATTTTACCAATCTTATATATTAATGCTTTATTTGAAACAATGGTACATATACAGTTTATAATACAATACAGTTGCATCAACGAAGTTGGAATGGCTTGGTTTGGAGCTTGTACCAGCAAATAACTTCAGCAACAATCTAGGAAGAATGCTGGTCAGTTTAGACTAATTTACAATCTTTTAACTGTAAACCATGCTCAAACTCAGCTGTACGTATTCTCATCACCATATCGTACAGAACATCGAAAACAACTCCAGCTTAGACACAAACTGTGTAGTGGCAGCAGTGTTATCACAGATTGCATATTTTAAGAATAATTCAATATTCGCCCAGAACACCTTATGGGAAAGGTCAACATTTGTAATAAATTAAAAAAACTTTAGTTATGCACTATGATTTTTACCATAATTTACGGCAAAACTGGGTTACTATAATAAGCTGCATGGTTTATTATAAAGGGCATTAATAACAATATTTGAATACGAAGCAATTTTGCATCTACAACTTGATCTGTATTAAATTTCGTTGAGCCAGTGAATTACGGAAATTACCATTCTTATTTTCAATTTTTAGATGCCTTACACATCCATCCGCATCAAGTTACTTTTATCTTTCTGTGGAGTCGCAGCCAACTAGCAGAGCTAATTCCAATTTACTTTCTCCGTGTACGTCGCAGGAGAACAGCACATTCTGGTGATACCACGTTGAACTAACATGCGTCTGCAGTTTGTTTCTGTCAGTTGAGGAAGGTGGGTGTTTGGTTTTTGTTTGTGGTCGTGATTACTGGAAGACTGAGAAGTGTCAAAATATTCTTTTCAAGAATGAGACGTAACGTGAAATTGTTATTGTTGTTCTCAATGGCATGGATGTTCGTCATCGTGTATTACCTTCAGGTTTCTAGAGAAGGCAAGGTACAGTTCAGTTTTATGTAACATTGTTTTTGTTAAATTGCCGGTCTTCATAATTGCATATTAAATAAATTTAGTCTTGCAATTAAAACCAGGAATTAATTGCCGTTGATGTTAGCTTTATGAGCAAATAATCCTATTATCACGCAGTTCTTTTATTGGTATCACATTTTATTGTAAAGGACTAAGTGAATGGAATGTTTTATATCCATGGGTCGGTTTATCGTTCTTGCAGTGAGTAGAATAGAATAGAATTTATTTACATTCCATAGATCCTTCATAGGCCTAAGCCAAGGACAGGCCATAGCACAAATACAATATTTGTTTCTAGTACAAATATAAATACATATATTTAACAGCTATTTACAGATTTTTGGAACTACAGTATTACAGCAAAATAATTATGATGAGAAACTATCACCATTATTACTTACATGTATTTATAAATTGTTCTACTGAGTAGAAGGAATGAGATAGGAGATACTCTTTTATCGCTGGCTTAAACATTTTTATATCGTGATTTACTGAGTTACTGACCAACACTACACAAACACACGCACGCACTTATTCTGTACAATGCAGTTTGTTATACTTTATTCGTGTTTGGGTGTAATGCCTTCAACATTATATTTAGTAGCCAGTATTTATTTTTTGCTCGTCAGAGGAGTTTTTGGGTTTGTGACTGAAAAGTTTGTTAGTGGGGTAGGTGTTGATATGATATCAACAATCATCGATAGTGTAACTGAGGGGTGCGTTCACTTTATGTTTGTCTGATGGCTACAAACATTCCCTGGTGTTAAAGTTGCCGTTGTGTTTGTTTTTATTCTATCAGGTTAGAATTCAGTATGAACCCAGACAATGAAGGAGATATAAGTCTTAGATTATCAACCCGAGGTTCGCGACAGCCTTCAGTCCGGCCCACTAGACTTGGCCGGATGTAATGGCTGGTTTCCGATTTTAACTAAACAGAACTTGAAGAAGAGTACTGTGTCCGATTATTTTATTTGCAGGGATGGTTAATATGAGCAGTTTAGATGCTCAAATGATTTGTTAAAATTCTTTGGTGTCAACTTTCCTTCACGTGCTTGAGACGGAAATGCAGAAATTGACCAGACTTACCGTCATTGACCTTGATGGATGGTGCTCGTCTCTATTTATGCATGTAATAAATCGAAAATAGCTATATACATTTTTATGAAATTTTTGCAGCGTTGTGCCATTTGAGACTTGCCCAAAATTGCACACTTTTTTATATTCTATAATTAGTAATACCAGTTTGTCGTATGCTCAAGATTGTGAGGTGAGAATGACACTGTTTATATGACGTCATCGGCCTTGATGAGCAATATCTAGATAATGTTAAAAAGTGGGGATAGAAAGTAGAATTTGTGTGTACTCCAAAGAGGACACCATTCTAGTCTTGTTTTATCGTTTTGTAATGTCTGATGGGGTTGGTAAGTCGATTAAGAAGCATACCTATAAGAAAAAGAAAGAAAAAATCTGGCAATCCTACCATAAATCCCCAATAAACTAGGAGGGTAAAGTCCCCCGAACCCACGCAAACAAGAAAGAAACAAACTTCAGATGAATTTCCACTCATGCAGAGTAATGTCTATAAGGATGTGTAAAAATACCGAACTAATTCCATGGAGTAGAGCCCTTGAGAAGCTAATAGTCATCCAGCTAGTCAAGAAATTGTTCACAGGAATCTGCTTCCGGCCCTTATCCAGATCTAGCCCTACATGCATGCATCTACATCATCTCACCCTGTGTTACTGAGATCCATCATAATATTCTACGCCTGGATTTTCCAAGTAGTTTCGTCCGGGTTTTCTGACAAATTTTGTTCAATAATGCTTTCAGAAATATTGCGAGAAAAAGAATTATGTGGGTGCTGTCGCTTTATTTATTTATTTATTAACAATATGCAGCAGTGGGTGACTTCCCATGAAAACTACTGAGTGTAATCTCACACCACCTTTACACCTTTATAATTATTTGTCATCGCCAGTTCCAATGTGATGCCTGTGCAAGCTTTGGGGGTGGAAGCAATCCTAGCACAATTGAAAGGACGGGCGTTTCAGTGGTGAAGAATTTTCAAAGAATATGCGATTTCTATCCAATGTAAAGTAACAGCGTTGCATCGGCCTGTAAGCCTACAAAGCGTTCCGTATTATAACGATACGTAAATGAGTGTAGTCTAGATTCATCTGGCTGAAGACAGAGTCCAGTGGTGGGCTGTCGTGAACACAGTAATGAACTGGGTTCCACAAAGGTTGGAAATATGTTGACCAGCTGAATCATCACCACCTTCTGAAGGTAGAATTTTCTCCACAGAGTTAGTCCCCATTTTCAGGGCGTAATGAGCGACAGAAGATCGTGGGTCTGTTAAACTATCCCGTTATGTCTCACACTCTGATTGTTTCATAGGTTACTAGGATTTCTTTTTCTCAGGACTGCTGTTCTCCTGACTTCATAAATCCAACTAATGCCAGGTATTGGCAGGTTTCTTAAGCCCTGTTTTATCTCTACAGAGGCCCGGATCGTGGTGGGGTGAGTTGGATTATTGGCTGTGATGAAAAATCACATGACAGGTATATCGTGAGCGGGAAATGAACTCGTGATCCCTTCGTTTGTGCTCACGTCAAATCCGCCCGTCTAATGGGATCGGTAAATTAGTACTCTACCTTAAACAGGACAAGGCAGTTATCCTCATTCTTCGATGCTTGTTCGGTTTTTAGGCGAATTTCTCCTGAACTTTTAAATTTGATCGTCTGGGTTGGTTGGCGTGACGACACCACACCCACCACAGACAAGTAGGGTCTACTGCTCAACCATGCTCCTTTTTTACATTTCTGTGTAGAATTCAGTGGACAAAAACAAATTTTAGAATTTAAACTTTATAACCGTCATTCTGCTCTGCGAATTGCTGTTATTGTGGAATTACAAAGAACTAGAAATCAAGGCATGGGCCGGAAATTCAGTTTGCCATAAAGAAAAGTGTGATCTGTAGGGATACGCGTGTTGCAGTTGCTACATTGGGCATCGCACATTGATTTGTTTCTGATGAAATTTTCTGCCGGATTTTCTAACTTTTCTTTTACGTTTGGTGGGACTAACTGGACAGAAGGTCGGCCCGACGCATGGCGTCTGTCTACATAACACAGAACATTCACGCTTAGAGTGGGATTCAATCCCACGATCCCAGATTTCGAGTGGCCAGTACCCACGCCATAAACCGCTGTTCCCTCTGTTCGGCCAGGACCTGTTGTCAAATTGTAGGTAATTGCGAGAGTTAGAACGTTCTTATCGTAATCATCCAGGGAGTTTGTCGACCCGTTCTGCCCTCATTTCTTTAATCGTTTCTTGGTTCGTTGTCCTGTTGACTCTGCAGTTCATTAATTTCCGAAGTCTTTCTGGAGAACATGGCAAGTTAATTTAATTTTGTTAATACTAGTTCATTCTGTATTTATTCTAAAATGACTTGGCTACTTTTATGACAAGTTCATTTTGATTTTCCTGGCCATTTCATGAATTTTATTTTGACAACCATGTTTATTCAAGTTTGGCCTTCATTGTTACGACTTTAATACCAGAAGGGCTAGTGCGTAATAAATCTCGAATCCTTTTCTTTCTGAGCTTTTGCGGGTTGAATTCCACTTTATTATGTTGCAGATCTGATAAGTATTGATAGCCTGTTTTTGTGTCTGTAGTTATGATGTTGTGGTCTAGCGATGCTAGAAATAGGTAGGGTGTTAATTCAAAGGAAGCACCGAATCTCTTGAAAGTTTTAGAAGGAATAATGAAACAGCTGGTTTCTTTTCTTTTCAGGATTGAATTGCAAGAACACATACTAAATATCCGAACATTCACTGGATTATCTTAGAATGATTACCATCCATCCTTCTCAACGTAGGCATATTGCTTCGACTTTCTTTCAGTATTATTAAATCTTCGGTCTTTCAAGTAGCCTGTCCCCGCTTCTTCATCTGTCTACAACTTTACCTTTAGTCCATTCATTCCTTATTAGACCTATACCTGTATTATATCACGGTGTTTTGTTATCGAATGCCAGTTTATAAATCTGCGCTCCGCGATTCCTACCTTCAGTATGAATTTCGGTGTAATCATACATTCCGTGCTAACATCATCCTTCTTATTCGCTGCTACTATTACGCGTTAGGCTATTATAAATCTGTGGTGAGTATAATATAATTACACCAACTTGCTTGTCGTATGTAAAACTCTCTATTTCGTAACTGTGGAGAATGACAAAGAAACAGACGATTACCTATAGTTTAAGCATTTGTAATGAAATCTGTTCTGTTCCGTTTCAATAATACACTCACTTACCTTGCATATTCATTATCTGGAAGAAAAAATACAGAAAATTAGATGCCCATAATGCACCATGAAGACGACCCACTTTTTAGAATTATCATCAACTTAAAGTGACAGTTATCGCCACTGGCAGACAATTAGTCGTTTGTTTTCGCTAACTCAACACGATTCTGCTAATTGTCGTGTATCAGGCTACCAATCACTTTCTCGCTCCGGTAGAGCGTAAAATGCAAGTTAAATAAAAAGACAAAGAATCGGCCGATGACGGGAAACCAAGATCTCCTGAACCGCAGTCGGCAACTTCCGTACTGGCAGGATTGCGCAAGTTACGGTTATCAAGCCGCATTCGGCTTACAAGGCAAGCACGATATGATTGGCATGTTACATAAAAACTTCTTTTACTTCTCTATGTGCCAAGTCAGAGATAAGGGTTAATACTATGCTGCTTAGTCAGGGCTATGGCACAGCTCGTGCGGAGGTTACAGATAAGTATGGAGCAGTAGTAGAATGAAGAGTAGCACGGGAAACCCGAAGAACTTGGAGGAAAACCTGCTCCAGGGCTACTTAATCCACCACGAATCACACTTCAAGTCACCTTTGATTCAATCCGCGTTTCCACGGTAAAACTGTCACTTGATGGTACAAAACTTGTTGAATCTACCTTGCCCCATTCACAGAACAGCCAGTGACTTCGTCATGGCAGTTTTGTTGCCATGGAGTCATGGAGACCTCAGTTTCCATGGAAACGGTTGTTGATAAATGCTGTGCAGAAATATACTTACAAATAAATAAAGAAGTTTTATGTTTTTATGTGAAGTAACGAAGCTTAAAACTGCGTTGGACAATACCAACATGATGGCGATCCGAGTCTTCCGAAAAATATGTACTAACTAACTAACTAACTAACTAACTAGATGGCTTACGGAACCCGAAGGTTCATCACCGAACTAACCAAAGCCCTCCACCGGACCCTGTCCTGGGCCAACGAAATCCAGTCTCCTTCAACTCCTATCTCTTCCCCGCAGATCCCGCCTAACATTATCTTCCAATCTACGTCTAGGTCTCTTCAGCGGTCTCTTCCCCTCAGGTTCCCAACTAATACCTGGTGCACACCTCTTGTCCCATCCATGCGCTCTACATGCCCCACCCATCTCATTCTTCATACATATTAACCGATTTAGGAGTTGTCTCGCCATAATGTTTATCGACTAAATTGTTACTTGTGTTGTAATAACAATAAAGCTTTTTTAAAATAACAAGTATATGGGTATTCTCATCGCCCTGATGATGGATGCAGCATGAACCTCTGAAACGTCGGTAAACTTCTACCAGACTACACGGCGCAACAATCCAGAAGACAGCCATTCAAACTCACTGTCGTGAGAACCTCAAATCCTGCATTATTATTATTATCATCATCGTCGTCGTCGTTGTCGTCGTCGTCATCATGTCTAAATCCATCTTCACCGAGACTCTGAACCCAGCAATGTTCGGGTTTGTGACCTTAGTTCTTTTAATCTCCTCACCGAAACAAGTTTGTACTTTGCGCCGTTCCATCATGCATAGTTTCCGAGCAACAGAAACCATCCTTATCGGGAATAGATCCGAGGACAGTTTTTCGGGTTTGTGGTCTTCGTTTCTGTAATCTAATCTTCGAGACAAACAACTTTTGTCTTGGCGCCGTTCTTCTGTCGTGCTTGGTTTCCGAGCTACAGGAATCGCCTTCACCTGCAGTCGATCTCATGCCATTTCTTCCGGAGTTTTGACCCTGCCGTGTTCTCTTCCTGATCTCGAGGAATAAGTATGCCAGGTACACCCGTTCCCGAACTGTGAACGAACAAACACAAATAAATATACGTACAATTTCAACTTTATATGCTGATTAATATTTGTTCCGTGGTTCATTAGAGCTCCTAAGGATGTTACCACAGATTCCACTTACCAGGTTATAGTGCTTCGCCTATCACCGCACCACAATATTTGGCGTAGTCGCCATTTTATCTCGAAGTTACCTTCATAAAAATTCCATATATTTTGAATCTCTATTACCGTACAGATTTTTTAGATCCTACACTAAACAACGTTAATTTTGCATGGTCACCGTATTGGTACTTTTTATAAGAAAGCTAAAAATGTTAGTATTTGGAGGTTGTTAATGGCCTGATGTTCATATCGAGTAACCATTGCGTTATGTGTGAAGGAGAGCTACTTTTCTTACCACCCGAAATTGGATAAATATTTTACGTAATTAATCTTCAAGATTTTTAACTAAGAACCAAATCCTTCGTGACCTCATGTGAACTGCTCATGACAGTAAGAACTGTAGCCTAAGGCCTCCAATTTCTCGTCGTTTCCTCCTTGTCAGATATTATCGTACAGAAGGCAGTGAAACAAAAGCACCCACCCGTGCGCCTGACAGCCCCTTGATTTACTCCCAAATATTTTTATCCACAGCAGGAACTTACTAAAACAAAAGCCAGTGCTGTAACCTACACAATGGCGGCACCGTGGACAGAACGTCATTGTGGTTTAAACGTAAGATAGTAATATGTTAAGGATGGAGGAAAGCATTCGCGATGGACACTGATTATTTGGTAAGAAAACCCCAAGGTTCAACTTTGCTTACACTAGGCAGATTTGCAGCATTTTCAATATTTTATACGGCCCGACTCTATTCTCGTATTTACAAGATGTGCGGCCCCAAATGTCCCAATTTGATAAAGTTCAAATTTCAAATGCATGTCAAATAGCGACTTATGTACCGCTGTTTTATACTTCGATTGAATGAAGTGGAAATGTATTTCAATCAAATTCATATTTGTGTGTGCTTTTGAGGAAATAGAGGAACGGAAAATATATCTTAAGCTTAAGCTTGGAATAAGTAAAAGTAGGCGGTTATGAATTTCCTCACCCATGTGATTACCCTGGAACAGCGGCCATTAGTAGGCGCTGAGTCTGATATGCCTGGCCTGCACCAAAGAAGATCTTGAACCAGGACAGCTCAGTTTAAATTCTCGATACGCATTTCTGTATGACCCGTTTTAATATTACTATTCCCATCTCCTTCCTTTTTTCTAACTGGTCGCTTTCCAAAAGTTTTACCACCACAATTCTGTGTGCATTTCTTGCGAAGTGGTATGAAAAATTATTGGGCGAATTTAATTTTGGGTACTTACCTTCACATCGTAGCCTGTACATTATATGAAGCGCAAATCGAACTCAACAATTTTATTGAAGGAATTGGTAAACTACTTGCTTTTAAGGTTGTGACTCTTGTTTGCTATGCATTTTAATAGCTGTACTATTAAGCAGCCGCCAGAAATTGAAGTTATGAATGTGCAGTGTAGTATCTGTGCTGTGTCCAGATTGGAGTACATCTTTCCGCACTTGTTAGTCAAGCATTTCTTTTGCGTTATTTGAACTCGTTGCACGAAGTGAATGCATGCAGGAAGTCGTACAAGCTACTGGTGTGGCCAACATCAGGGAAATTTCTCGTGTCTTGGGAATCTTCCAATTCATTTCCGGTGTTCTACTTCTGTACTTCCATTGTTTGGTAGGCATTATGTTGATTCCAAGTACTTTCTTTGTTCACGTGTTTTGTATTCAATAAAGAAAGACGACTTTCTTCTTCTCATGCATCTGTAACACGAAACAGATTTTGTATGAAGGTTTTATTCTAAGAATTCTTATCTCTGTCATAGTGAAAATTGTTCGTATCTGAAATTACTATTTTGCTTTTGTGATTTTTAGCCCTACTTTAAAAGCTTAAGAACAATTTTAAACCAAGGAGCTGTTCTGTAACAAGACAGTACTGAGCAGAACTTCACAGAACTTCGCATGTATGAAGTGGAACATTGATATTTTAAAGTTTTTGTCATTGGACTAAAGCTGCATTCTGTCCCTCAGATTTAAGCGAGCCCATTGGGTGAAAGGAAGTATATTAACTACTTCATATTATTCCTTGTTCTTCTACCAGTTGAGAATTCTTGTTCAAAAATTGAAAGCGTAAACGTCTACCTTAATTTTTTTCTTTGAAACGAAGTGTATAGTGATGGGAGCCGTAAAATTTTGCTCTGTTTTCTTCCGATGTTATTCCAAAATTTGATTAGAGGAATCACTATGAACTCTGACCGGAAGTTTCTCCCGGAACATCCGCTATGGATTTGAACGATTTTGCACGACTGAAAACTTTGACTTCAGGAATAAAATATGCGAGATGTGGCAGCATAAAGGCTAAAGTACCAAGTTCATTTGTTCATGTTCTGGTTCTATCGGTGTTACAGGTTGCTTCGAACCTTGGCGTTCTACAATCACAGAGATTTTCCAAAATATCTTCGGACGCATCTGCTTACTTTCACAATCTATGCTACCTGAGACTGCGAAGCCATGGGGATGGGCAAACAGTTAAAATTAGGGAATTTTGTCAAAGACGTAGAAAGCTGCATGGCTTTAAAATAGGATGCTATTACTCTTATGGGAATTCACGAAGTGTGTTACATTTGACGACCATAGTCTTAACTCTGACGTACGGATGAGAGTGAACCACACGTTTCACACCCGTATACTTGCAGGCCAATTTTATAACTAACCTTGAGGCCAGGACTGCATTATAAAAAGGAGCAGAGCACGATATTGGAAATTTAATCTCGTGTTAATTGAATGTGTTGTTATGTAATTCTGTTGAATTGAACATTTATGTATTTGAAATGTTAAAGTGATGAAGCCATTCCCATTGTTAACACACGCGGAAGAGGAGTTCCAAGGTCTACAAACAATATATTAATCTTCCATCATCATGGCGATGATGATGGAGGCAGTAAGTTCCTCTAAAACGTCGATATGTATATCCGACTACATGGCGCAACAGCCCAAAAGATATCCATCTTTATATTTGCTGTACGAACCTGAAATTCACCAGTATTTTAATCTGATGTACTGAAATTATATTCCAAAAAATTGGTAGGGGGAACTCCCGTAATGTCCCTCGGGCATGTTAACAGGTGCTAATTTTTTCAATATGACAGCCACATAAAATGGAATTTGCCGATATCTGAGGTGGCCACTTGTTTGGCAGGCCTGCTGTAAAGGCAAAGAAAACAATAGTGATGTCGGTGTATGCTGCGATTAACGAAATTCGAACAAACCAAATGTTAATTGGTGTAAATTATAAATGACGGATATCGGACTTAACTCCAACTTTAGACTCCCAGAAATGTTCCTTCGTATCAAAATGTACAACATACAGAGATATTCAAAGATGCACCAGGAATTAAAATTGCCGCTGTGTTATTCTCGTTTTAGTTGAGCGTACTCTAGGCCAAATGTGGGTCTTTTGAACAGTTTGTTTAATGATGATATATCATGCCGCGACATTGCGATATGATAAGCCAGATAGAAAGGAAACCACGGAGACTCCTTGGACCGGAGAGAAATTTATTTTCTGATACCGGAATCTTAATTCAAACTGTCACTAGTATTAATGATGTGTTCTGGAAGTTGGTACTTTCTTTCTCAAGAGGATTTATGAAGATGTTACATTTTAAATTATTTTTGAAGATGAAAAATTACTTACCTTCGATTATTCTTTTTGTCAGTCCAGATCTACACGCACATCTCTCTCTCTCTCTCTCCTTTCACTGGGCGCATTTCATTTGTTCTTCCTCAGTCCGCAGTGCGTCAACATCTGACGTAGCACAACGTAACGTATTGTCGTGGATTCCGTATGCTGACCCCTTGGCGGCAATCAGGTGACATTCTTAGATAATTTAACCAGAAAACAAAATTGGTCTGGTCTGGTTCTAGACTAGTGATACTGAACGAGTGTCGTTATTTTCCCCATTTTGTCACAGGTTTGATGCAACAAAAGAGAGCACGACCGATTTATCCAAGATTTTCCCAGTCTTAAAATTGATATCACTCTGCA